TTTTGTCAATATTGCTAGTACTTGTGCTGGAGGTAGAAGTGCCTTCTTTGCTTTTTATAGCAAGTAGCCATGTTTGCCCCTCATTAAATAAATTTTGTTTTGTAGTAGGATCCCTAAAGGCAGGTTTGCATGTACTTGTACTATCCTAAAACTGTCCTGTTCATCTTCATAAAAATTATTTCCATAGTATAATTTCATGTTGGGTTTCTACTTTGGTTGATTAATAGCATTAGTGCTTACAACTTCTCTCAGACTAGCTATTTCACATTTTGTTTTGTTTCTAAAGCATTTGATGCACGTGTCCTTACTGCAAAGAAATCCTCCAGGAACCTGAGAGTATTGTTCTCCCTTAATCTCTTTACAGAATGGGTTAACTTTCCCCTCAGTTACAGCTACATGTGAGGACCATGTACTTTCCCTCAGCCTTCTAAAATAAAAATTTTACCATCTATGGATTCTTTTTGTTTCTTGTGTTTATGTTTGTTCTCTTTCTTTCCTAAAGACTGTTTCTGGTCAAAGATTTCTTGGGTTGTGTTGTCATTTGCACCACAGCTACTGAGCTAGACCAAATCAGCTTTATTTTGTTGAGGGGTAGTGTAAACTCGCACTAGAGTTTATCTGCTTCATTAGGTAAGAGGTAAAAGATACATTAGGAATCACAATAAGCCAATATGAATCCAGAGTAGTTCAACTGGTTTCACTTAGAAGGACATTGCTGTAACTAAGAACAAAATTAAGATTGTCCTTTGCTTTTTGTGTTCTTTAGTCTTTATTTCCCTCTTTATTTGTTTCTCTAGTTCTCAGTATTCTTATCCTTTCTAATTTCTGCAGATTCATATCCTCTGTTGATGTTTGATCGTGCTGTGTATCTGCCTGCTGAGCATATCAATGTCTGCTTTTCTTTCAGCTTACTCATTACAGCATCATACTTTAATACAACTCTCATTGAAAAGTCATCTATTCTTTCTCACTGAAGGCTCCCCAGACACAAGTTTTCTTATGTTTAGTTTTTGGTCTCACTCTCTACTCTTACAGTGTCTGCTTTTATGAGATTAATTATTAATGGTATGTCTTTCAAATACACATCAGTATGGCAGCCTTCAGATTCACATTAGGCAATTTTAGCACCTGGACACTGCAAGTTAATTGTTTTGGTGAAACAAAAGAGTCAGTATGTGCTCTTGTAGGCAAGTTTAAGATGAAAGGACTAGACATTTGCAGTTACAGATCTGGAACCATATAATCAGTTGGTGTTAATGCTAGCATTTCAATCTTTCTTATGTTACTTAAATTGTGCTTTTTCCTCAGTATCCACTTGGCACTGCTGGAAGAAGCAATGTTCTGATCCCAAGGCTGGTTTGGCTCCATAAGTTTAATTGAACACTGAATTAGTTATCATAGAATCATAAAATGGTTGGAAGGCCTCCTAAAGATCATCTTGTTCCAACTCCCCTTTCCATGGGCGGGGCACCTTCCACTAGACCAGGTTGCTCAGAGCCCCATCCAATCTGGCCTTGAACACTCCCAGGGATGAGGCACCCACTTCTCTGGGCAACCTGTTCCAGTGCCTCAGTACATCTAATCTAAATCTCTCCTCTCTCAATTTAAGATAATTCCTCCTTATCCTATCAGTATCTATCCATCTAAAACATATCTCTCCCTCTTTTTTATAAGTTCCCTTCATGTACTCGAAGGCCACACGGAGGTCTACCCAGAGCCTTTTCCAAGCTGAAAAATCCCAACTCTTTCAGACTGTCTTCACAGGAGAGGTGCTCCATCCCTTGGATCATCTAGATCCTTTAGATGCTAGGAATTCCACATCTTTCCTGCACTGAGGACCCCAGAGGTTTATGCAGTGCTCCATGTGGGCAGAGGAGCAGAATCTCCTCCCTCCACCTGCTGGCCACTCCTCTTTGGGTACAGCTCAGGATGCTGCTGGCCTTCTGGGCTGTCAGGGCACAGTGTGGGCTCATGCCCAGTTATATCCAGCCCAAGAGACTGTTCACAAGGATGTAATTCCAGCGTCTTTCTCCAGGTGTGTCCCTGAACCCATAAGCCACAGGGAGTTATTGAATGGCACAGAAGCTCTGTGGCAGCTGCATCCAGCATGTGAAGATAGAGCTGCTTTTCTACCCCTTTGTGGCAGCTGGACTGAGGTTTAGAATTGATCCCTTGCTTGGAGAAACAGTTGAAACTACAGCTATGCATCCTTTTAGCCTGTAGAAAAATGGGTTCACACCCCACTTCCACCATGTTCGTGTACTTTATTTTGTTACAGCCAGTTGAATACTTTGCACTACAAAACAGTTTTAAATGCATATATTCACTGTACATTTTATGTTAGATGCAATTTGAAAAAAGCCAATAATTTAAGCCATCCTTGTGAATACCTTATGAGAGAAAAATCAATTAGAGGCCCCACCAACAGGAACGGAAAGGAAAGGAAAGGAAAGGAAAGGAAAGGAAAGGAAAGGAAAGGAAAGGAAAGGAGAAAGAGGAAAGGAGAAAGGGGAAAGGAAAGGAGAAAGGAACCATGCAGCACACCCAAAAATTTTTCAGGAAAACAAAAAAAAAAGATACCAAGAACAGCAATCAGTGATTAATTTTATCCTAATATCCATAAAAAGAAACAATAAAAAGATTATGGTGATGGAAACTTTAGAAATCATAAAGGCAAGAAGACTATGAACTGTGTACACGGGTCATGTAAGATGAGGAATTGTGAAGGGCTTTGTGATACAGCAAGAGCGACTCAAGCAGGAAATCCCACTTAGTGCAACCTTTACTCTTTGGAATGCCTGGTTGCTTGGTGTTATCAAATCTTCATTAGGAAATCACATAAGACTTAGACAGGTAAGGTACGAGTTATTCAGAAACAATTTTCTGTTTATCTATAGGGTAAACTACCAGGACTACCAATTCTTAGGTACTTCCCAGGGCATGCTGATAACTACCTGAGGAAAAAGGATTTCCCCTCACATTGCATTACACAAAAATTAGATGCAATTTGAAACTTACAACTTCCTCTGAAATACTTGCAGGAAACACAAAGGAAGCAGGACAAGAGGTGACTCTTAACCTGGTCTGGCTTGGCAAATCCAGCATTTCTACCAAAGTACAACATGTATCCTTTATATATAATGAATTTGTTATACTTGATTAATTTCCCAAATTAACTTTTTATCACTTATTCATCATTTGACTCAGCATCCAAAGGTAAGCATCTTTCCTTAGTGTTACTACTATGACTTTGTAGCCTAGGAGTTGAAATTGTCTAAAACGACAGCACTGGAATCTCTGAAACACAAACAGTGTCCACTCAGTTATCTCCTGGCACCTATCAGCTATTCATGGCTGTATGTTCCATCACATGACACCTGGCAGTTTATTCTCTTCTAAGCAGGTTGCATTCAGATATGATCTTCCTGAGTACCTGGTAAGGACCATCAATTCTTTGGAGACTATTTAACTGGTGTTGCCTTTGGGATAGTATGTAGGGTCATTGGATGCTATTAAATTCTGGGCAATAATAGACAAAAAAGATAATTATAAAATGATCTGCCTAGAGAATTATGTATACTTTGAGCCTCAAATGGATTTGTATCAATTATATTTTCCATAATTATTTTTAATGCAATATCCAAGTACTGTAAAATTATATATATTTGTATTGCTAGACTTAAAGTACAGCACCCAATTCTGGGTAAAAGCTGCTTCTAGTTAATACCTTCCTGCAGGTGCTACTAATCCTTGAGCAATATTCCATTCACCTTAAGGTGCAACTTAGCCTGGGTAATGACTAGTTCTTGCTGTTCAATCCTGAGTAATCTTTACAGACACTCACAATCTCCTCCCTCTTCAGTACCAGTTTCTTATCTACTAAGGGAAAAACAAGAGTCAAAACAATCTTAGACCATGCAGACTTAATGTAGCCTGTGAAAATTCCATTTTCCTAAGAACCACTGATGCCAGACACCTGTTTAAAGGATATTGATTCTTTCTTTTCAACCTGAAACTCTATGAGTTTATGCAGAAGTTGTTTTTGTGGAGAGAAATCATCTTTCTCTGCATAAGAAACATTCACTTCAAGGCCAAGTTATGGGATTCCAAACAGTTTGGCAGAAGTTACAAACACTACGTGATCTGGGGTGAGCCAATTGACGCAGAACATTTAATTTCGAAATTCTGTCAGAGGCATGGTCTGCTTAAGGAAACAGAAGGAGCTGGGCAGAGCATTTTTCATTTCTGCTGCTGGGTGCTTTCCAGTGAGATATCCCAAGATATCACTGTGCCAAGGCTAATGCAGCTGTCTTGAGCTTAATAAAGAGGACCTTTTTCCCACTAGTTTTCAATCTATTCAGTAGTTTTTCTGAAAAGACAACAGTAATAGCTGTTTATAAAAGTAGTGCAACACAAGGTTCATGTTTATTCCATTTTTTTAATCTCCCATTCAAACAACTGTTCTTCTTTAATTCTTGAAATTAAACCAGTACTTGCTGCTTAGAGCATCACAAATATTCATTTCAGACAGTGTTGAAAAACTTTCACCAACAGAAGAGGCAGTAAGAAATGTACATCTGTTTTGAAAGCTGGAATATATGGCTTTTACTGCTTCAATTTATTTTTTCTTTAGTTGGATGTCTTACATGAGTACTCAAGTTTCCATATTTGAACCCTTTTCCCTGCACTGTCACTATGGTTATAGCTCTGCTGACAACTCAGGAGAGCTGTACAGCCTACAAAGCGTCTGAGCTGCACAGACCTGTACTGAAGCAGATCTTCACCTGACACTTGTCTCTACCTCAACAGCATCTATTCCAGGACCCGCAGCCCACCTCACACCCTGCTTGAGCACACCACCCAATTTTTCCTTTTAAGATCTGCTGCCATGGTAAGGAGTTCCTGATTCCTTAGCAGTAGTGCAAGATGCCCAAGTCAGTAGGGATATCTTAGTTCAGCAGAACAACTTTGCTCTCACAGTTCGCACCTCAGGGTCCTACCTTTGACACTTGAAGGGGTCTTTTCTGCTCTGAACCCCCTTGCAGGCGGAAGCCCCAGGGGGCACCTCCAGACAGAGTGATGAGCATTTCTTCTTCAGCTCCCATGATTTCTGTGCTTTAGATATTTTGTCTTCACAGCTTCAGTACAGACTCCAGTTCTTAACAGGCAGAATCTTCTATTCCCATAGTCACAATTCACACCACCACTCTCCAGTCCCCACAAGGCCCTCTGCTCACTTTCTCCTTGAAGTTCTCACACACACACGAGTTGAGACTGTCAAACCCAGCCTTCACTGCTCTTCTGGACTCTCAGCTGCTGCTCTGCCTATGATTAGACATTTGATTCTGCCCTTGGTAAGAGGCCAGAGTTGTCCTACACACGTGTCATGTCAATCTCACCCTCTGTGCCCCCCCGCATACATGATGGATCTCTCACCGGAACGTGGCTGAAAATAGCACACCTCCTGTCTCTCCAGAGCTTTGTCTGACACTCTTAGAGCTGGAAGCATTTCAGTAAAAATTTTATTTCCACTTAGCATTCCAAATGCAAATCCTAGAGTCACTCAGTACTCAGGATCCATTAGTTTGAGTTTCGGGCAAGGATATGTCACAGGCACAAACTTGTACAAATCAGGTGATAGCACCTGACCCTATGAATTGAACAAAACCAGCTTGCAATTAACGTGCTCTCCACTTCTATTTCCTCCATGCAGCTAGTGTCATTACACAGCAGCACTATGTGCCTGTCTCGAAAGCCACAGGCAGACTATAGAGGTACAGTGCTCCCTGTGCAGTGTGCTGCTCCCTGACATCCCCTACATCCACTCGTAATACTAGACACTGAGACCAGAATAGCTGGGATTAGCTACACACAGGATTCACAGTTCTCTGCAGGGCACTGCTTACATAGACTCAATGGCCAAGGGAGCCCAACCAGGTAATAGAATCATAGAATCAGAGAATAGTTTGGGTTGGAAGGAACTTTTAAGGATCATCTAGCCCAATCTACTTGCAATGAGCAGGGACATTTTCAACTGTATCAGATTGCTCAGAGTCCTGTCCAATGTGACCTTCAGTGTTTCCAGGGATGGGACATCTGCCACCACTCTGGGCAGCCTGTTACAGTGCTTCACCAGCCTGGTAGAAGAAATTTTTTGCCTTATATCTAGTTGAAATCTACCCTCTTTTCACTTAAAACCATTACCCCTTGTCTTGTAACAAGCCCATTACCCCTTGTCTTGTAATAAGCCCTACTAAAAAGTCTGTCTCTAGCTTTCTTAACAGCCTCCTTTAAGTATTGAAAGACCACATAAGGTCTTCTCAAAACCTTCTTCAGGCTGAACAACCGCAACTCTCTCAGCCTTTCTTAGTAAGAGAAGCCTTCATCCCTCTGAGCATTTTCTTGGCCTCCCTCTGGACCTGCTCCAACAGGTTTATATCTTTCCTGTACTGAGGACCTCAGAACTAGATGCAAGCCTCTGGATGGAATCTCACTAGAGTGGAGGAGAGTCTTTCAGTGGTTTTTCTTTAGGATCATGACAGACACAACCTCCTAGCCATCCCAAGTCAGGGAGTTATACAAGAATTAAAGTCCATGTTCCCCCTTTCCTACAAGGCATAAACCATAGTTTTCTGTTAAGGTCCTGAGGACAAGCTTACCCTTACCTCTTCCTTATTCTGCATGTGCTTAGCTCTCAGTGACTAATAGCCTTATACCGTAACATCCAGAGGATGTACTTTTGCTGTGATGCCATTGCTTGGTTGCCAGTACTATAGCACCACTCATCCAGTGCCATTGCATATTGCTGGTGGGCACAAACCAACACAATCACAGAATGATCAAAGTTGGAAGAGACCTTTGAGATCATCAAGTCCAACCATCCACCCAGCACTGCCACTGTAACCCCTGAACCAGTAAATCACATCACCCAGCACCAGACCCTGATGCCTCTTAAACACCTCCGGGTTGGTTACTCCACCACATTCCTGGGCAAGCTATTCCAATGCCTGACTACCCTAACAGTGAAAACGTTTCTAATATCTAATCTGACTTTCCTCTGTCTCAGCTTTAGACCATTTCCTTTTGTCCTCTCTGTAGCCACAGAAGAGACCAGTCCCCACTTCACAGCAATCTCCTTTCAGGCAGTTGTAGAGGGGATGAGATGCCCCACGAGCATCCTCTTCTTGAGACAAAACAATCCCAGGTCCCTCACCCATTCCTGTAAGACAAGTTTCCTAGACCTTTCACAAGCCTTGTTACCCTGCTCTGGACACGCTGCAGCACCTCAATGCCCTTTCTGAAGTGAGAGGGCCAGCAGGGCCTACTGAAAGCAGTATTTGAGGGGTGGCCTCAGCAGTGCCGAGTACGGAGGGACCATCACCCCGCTGTTGTTAGTAGGGAGCGAACAACTCTTTGCACCTTGGTGCAGAACCGGGCCTGGTTGCTCCCCTGTCGCGGTCTGTCACAGGCCGCTGATGGGGCAGGCCAAGGGCACCGTGGTCAATGGTGGTCGCGGCTCAGCAGCGTTCGGCCGTGCTCCGCTTACGCCGCAGCCGCCCGTGCGGACTGCGCTGGTTTGGGCTGCGCGAGAAGCAGCCCCGTGTCCCTCCCCCGCCCCGCCGGCACGTCAGCGGCCGGAGTCTCCCAGCGCCTGCGCCGCATCCGGGCCCCGGCGGGCGGAGCGCGGACGTGGCAGCGGCAGGCGGGGAGCGGCAGGCGGGGAGCGGCGGGGCAGGAGCCGGAAGTGGGCCCGGCTGTGGCGGCAGCGGTGGTGAGTGAGGCCTGAAGGGGCTCCGGGTGGCCGGGCCCACCGGCGGGGCCGGGCGGCGCCCGCTGCGGGCGGGCGAGCGGGTGGTCGGCATTGAGCCCGGCACCGCACCCGGCGGCCCGGCCGGGGCCCGGAGCCGAGGCGGTGCCGCCGCTGCCGCTTCCTCCTCCGCCGAGGCCCGGTGGCGCCCGGTCGGGTGATTCGTCGGGCCCACCGTGCTGCGCCACGGGAGGCTCTACAGAGCCGCGGGGCTCCCCGGAATGCGCCCGGGCCGGAGCGTCAGCATCGCCCGCGGCCCGGCCGGTGCCGGCGGCCTGCGGGGCCGGGCCGGCTGTCGGCGGGGCCTGCACGTCCAGTGCCTGGGCTGTCCCGGGAGACCCGTCGGTGTCCCGGTGTGGTGCGGCGACACCCGGCGGCTGCGAGTCGGGCCGTCGGTCCGGCACGGAGAACCGAGTGCTTCTTTTTGGTCGGGGTGCGCCGCGAGTCAGATACCCCTCTCTGCAACCTCTCTAATCTCCCGTAATCCGCGGATCCTTCCCCTGGCGTTTGTGCTGTACTGTTCACGCTTTCATTCATTCGAGCTTTGCAAAGGATGGTCATTCCTGGCGGAGATCTGACAACTGAGATTGGTTGGATGTGGTAGTAAAACTTAGTGGTTGTGTGGCTGTGAAAAAAGGAAGAAGTAAAGGAGATGGCATGATCGAAATACAAGTGTAGTCTTGAAAAGGTGGTTATGCAAGATGGGACTCTTGCTTTCCATGTAGATAGTGCTTTAAATGTGTTTTCTGTTGTTGCAATTTGCTTTCACTCTTTCTGAGAAATGCTTTTGATGGAGTAGGGTGAAGCTTAGTTTCCTTTAGTTTGTTTGGCGTTTTTTTTCGAATGCACTGATCTCTGAGAGGGACTGCAAAACAATCCAAACTGGGCTGTAGTTCTTTTTAAACGTACTGGCTAAAGGAAGTGCTTGCTGGGGCGTGAAAGAATTGCTTACACCTATGTCAGAAGTTATCCACAGGCATGAATGTTTGTACTGTCATTGAAAATACAGATTATTTTTTTTCCCCCGGTGTGGTACTGAGTTGGTTGCTAGCTATTAATGTGATAATTCGTTAAAAATATTTCTAGATCCATTTCTGTTACAGGATTATGTAGTCGACTTTACTGAATGTTGGACAGAAATCACTCTCTGAGGCAAAACATGCAAATTCTTTCTTGCTGTTTTTTACAAGCACTGTAAAGTCACATCACTGAAAGGGGAGATGACTACTGATTTTGTACTAAAGTCTTTGTTCTTTATTAATGCGAAGTTTTCATGAATAAATTTAGGGAACTCTGGCTTTAACATTGTTTTTTTTCTTTCCCACAACCTTCTCCTAGAGTAGGCATTCCAGTTATGGGACAGATAGAAATATATGTAACCAAAAACTTCCAAGCTTTCCTCTTTAAAGGAGACTTACTTTCAGTCACATATATACACTCTGTGAAAACATAAATATTTCTGTCCATTTTCATGTGGAACTACCCTTTCTGGTGTGAAGCTGTTCCATTCAGGATTCTTTTGTTGTTGTAGACAGAGTATGACAAGGGCATCAATATGAAGAATATATAATTGCTTCTTAATATGCTGTCACACTCACTCCAGGTTTTAATTTCATGGCTGAGAGCTGACTTATAACAGTCAACACCTATTTAAAATATTATTTCTTTGATGAGTGGTTTGGTGCTTGTACTTCTTTGAATGTTTTTTTCCTGCTGTGGTAGGACTATGTTATCTTCCTGTAACACTTATTATCAGAAGGAGGGTCAAAAATCAAAGGAGGAATTGATGGTTGGCTAAAGAAGGGCAAGGTACAGAGTCACCAACAGTAATCGACAACAAGGTCTCTGCAGAGGAGAGGTGGATGTTTCTTGTTCTTTAGATTTGAAAAGATGTGTTAGGGATAAATTGTGAAGATAGAGCTTGTTTTTATATGTTCAGCAAGATTCATTGTTAACATAGAAAACATTAAAAGACAGTATAAACTGGCAGTAGGTGTTAGGAAAAGCTAATTGTGACCTTTTTTATTTCTTGCAAGTGATGGAAATTGTGTAATGTGTATTTGTGGAGAGGAAGTCAGAGCACAGAGATGGCCAGTGTTACAATGTATGTGAAGAAAACTTGTTTTTTAGTCTTATTCTGTGTATTCCCTTTCTTCCTTCTGTCCTTTTCCCTAAATTTGGAACTGTTCATATAACTTTTTCTAATCCATTATGCTTGTGCAAGAGTCACAGAACTGATTCAGATTACTTCACTCATTGTAACACATATCCACATGTGTGTGGAAGTAGCTAGGAAACAGAGATCCTTCACTGTGGTTTTGTTGATGCTGTATTGTCAGTGACTTTTGCCTCCATGGGGTTGCTCTTTAGAAGCCATGCTCATAGCAGAGTGTTTTTCAAATCTTTTCTTACTTAGGGCTTTATTGCAGTGATAGAGATGTGAATCAATCCCACCAGGAGACTTGAGTCAACAAATTATAAAAGGTTCTTGAAGTAAAAATCTGGTGGTGATGGCAGG